CTCCCGGGACGCCTTGGAGCGGCCAGCCCGGCACAGGGACGAGCTGCTGGGCACCACCAGCCCGTTGAGGTTCTCATAGACACACTGTGGGGACGGACAGCCCTGCTGGCACTCGTTGTTGTTGTTGTTGGGGGCGCAGAGGTGAGGCCGGCATGGCCGGGGCTGCCGGCACAGCCGGCGGTAACCCGAGGTGGGAGCCAGCACGAATTTCACCTCCCCTGGCTGCAGGAAGACCTGGGGGTTTCGGTCTTCCAGGGAGCAGCTGTGGTTCCTAGGGGGGAAAGGAGGGTGGGCTTCAGGCAGGGAGTGCAAACAGTGGCGGCCCCTCGGCTCCGGCTCGCCGGTGTTGACGTAGGTGTGGGACTGCAAGGAGAGAGAAGCAGAGGGACAGTGAAAGGAGGAGACAGCACAGGCCAGGGCAAAGCAGCTGAGAAACCACCAGGAGAGGGGGATTCCTCAGAGGAGAAAGGATTTTGGAAGTTTTGGGGAGGTTTTGGGAGGTAAAATGTAGAAGTTGGTTTGGGTTTTGTGGGCTGGGATGAGAGCGCAGCGGCACAATCTCACTGTGCGTCCTCATGGATGGACAGCTGCAGGAATTTCCCTGTCACAGACATGTTTTATGAAAAATCCTTTCCTGAGAAGCCTCAGAAACAAAATGTAAACCATAATTATCTACTGCTGTAGAATGCAACAAGTGCATCTTTGATTAGTCCATATTAATTATTTCTAATTAATAGCCAATCACAGTCCAGCTGTCCAGAGTCAGTGAGTCACAAGCCTTTGCTATCATTCTTTTTCAATTCTTAGCTAACCTTCTAATAAAATCCTTTCTTTTATTCTTTTAGTATAGTTTTAATATAATATATATCATAAAATAATAAATTAAGCCTTCTAAGTCTGAATTTATGAATTCATTTAGCTTTCATTTATGAATTTATTTAGCTGTTTTTGTGACAGCTGGCAGGTCACTGCCACCCAAATACCAATGAGTTGAGGACAAAACTCAGATTTTTTTGACAGAACACCAGTTCTAGTGAAGTCTCAAAGAGCAGGAGCCGCCAGGAGCAAAATGAAATGAAGAGAATAAAAAGAGTGACAAGGTGTGAGGATCCCCTGAGCTTTGGGTGATGGGAAACCCAGAAGTGCAGCCAGCAGAGCTGAGGATGGGTTTACCTGCTCGTCAGGCCCCAGCAGGGGATGGGTAGAGTCTTCCCCCACAGAGGAATGTCTCAGGCTGCTCACTGAGGGCTGCTGGGCTGCAGGGCAGGACAGGGATTCTCCAGGGAAGCTGTGAAATCCATTGGGAAGCCCAGTGTAGCCCAGACCTGTGAGGGAATCAAGGCAGAGGAGCATTACATTGGTACAAAATTGAATTATTGCACTTTCAGAGAGAGCTGGGCTCTTGTGGACACCCTGGAAGGTAAAACCAGCCTTTCTAGGAGGCTGGAGTACACACAGAAGGGCCAGGCCCTCCTTCAAATCTAAAGAATTTCTCATGGAGACAGGAATTGAGCCATTCCAATGCTCCAGCAGAACACCGGAGGGCTGAGCCACCAAGGAACGGGACTGTGCCACCACCCTGACCTACAGAGTGTCAGGGTTGCTTTGTATTACTGCATTTTTATTTTATTTTTATTTTTCCCCTAATAAAAAAACTGTTATTCCTCCTCCCATATCTTCCCCTGAGAACCCCTTGACTGCAATAATCAGGAGGGATTATAATTAATTTATTTTATTTTTATTTTTTTCCCTAACAAAGAACTGTTATTCCTATCACACATCTTCCCTTGAGAACCCCTTAATTTCAAAATTACAATTATTAGAAGGGAAAGGGTTTAAATTCTCCATTCCAAGGGAGGTTCCTGCCTTCCTTAGCAGACTTTCCACACCAGCCCTGTGTCCCTGTGCTGTCCCCTTGCCACCATGGAATGGGACTGTGCCACCACCCAGCTCCTGCTTTGATTCTGTCAGGGCTGCTTTGTCTTACTGCATTTTTATTTTATTTTTATTTTTTCCCTAATGAAAAAACTGTTATTCCTACTCCCATATCTTCCCCTGAGAACCCCTTAATTTCAAAATTACAATTATTAGGAGGGAAAGGGTTTAAATTCTCCATTTCAAGGCAGGTTCCTGCCTTCCTACCAGACTTTCCAAACCAAGGCACAGCCCAGCCCTGTGTCCCCGTGCTGTCCCCTTGCCACCATGGAATGGGACTGTGCCACCACCCTGACCCACATGGGGTCGCTCCTATTCTGACTCTGTCAGGATTGCTTTTTATTCTGCATTTTTACTTTATTTTTATTTTTTTTTCNCACCCACCCCCCGACACTCAGCCCCCCAGTTCACACATTCTGCATGCCCAGCTGCTCCTCTCCGCTGTGTTTTTCCCCCAGTTGGTGGCTCAGCAAAGCCACCAAGCTCTTTTGGGACCTGCCCTCCCAAGCAGGAGCGAGCCCCGGCGAGCACAGGCTGCAGACTGGCACCAGTTTGGCAACGAACTGGGATGCAAAGGAGCAGCTCATAAATAAATAAGTAAACAAATAAATAAACCCACAGCACTTCTCAGCAGCTGCCAAATAGAACCCTGGTAAAAAAAAAAAAAAAAAAACAAAGCAGGGTATGGCACAAGTGAAGTTTTCTAGACCAAACTTTCAGTCTCCCTCATGGTTGTGGCCTTTCCCTCCTCTTCTAAAGCAGGGGAGGGAATTTAAGGATTTAGGCAATCAGGTTTCTGTGATCACAGTGTGTGCCCATGGCTCTGTGTCCTCCTGGTTTCATTGCAGCTGCCCAATTGAAATTGGATCTGAGACAGGGACAGAAGGATAAAAAGCTTCAGGAACGAACAGCGAGCTGAGGGGGGAAAGGCCACGGCGTGAGCTCCTCATCTCCAGGCACCAGTGGGAGCACAAGGCAAAGCCCAGCTCTGGAGTGGCCTCACCACAGAGCTCTCCTGGAGGTGTGAAATCCACGAGGAACAGGCTCCATTTGCGCAGAGCTCCTGGAGCAGCTCAGTTTTGGGAGCACTGCCCCAGGCACTGCCCAGCTGCCTCTGCCCTGCCCCAGCCCAGGCTGTGCCACCGCAATTCCACCCTCAGAGTCACCACACGTCCCACAAGGCTTGAAAAACCACCACACATCCCACAAGGCTTGAAAAACCACCACACATCCCACAAGGCTTGAAAAACGAGCAACACACAGAGAGGGGAGGACAGACAGACAGACAGACAGAGCCTCAAGAGCAGCAGCTGCAGGAGCCACGCTAGGCCCCGGCGATGGCAATGGTGAGAGAGGGAGCCACACTCAGGGGGGACAGGACACAACGAGGGGCAGGGACCAAAGCCACGACACGGGGCTGGCACTTGGGGCCCTCAGAGGGGCAGGTCAGTGCTGTTGTGGCGAGTTTTCCTCGAGGTGCCATCGTCCCTGGGCAGGGCCCGCTGCAGGCTGGACATGGCCGCCGTCTTCTT